CTATTTAATGATACATATTCTCTTCCTTATCTTACCAAAATGACACCTGCAGGTTCTCAGATATCTGAGAATGAAGTAAGGGATGTATAAACAGTTCAGTTACAGTGAATAAGTAAGGTTGAAAATATCAGGATGCAACAGGTTTTTTAAAGCTGCTTATCAAGAATTGGGTAAGAACTAAGAAAAATCACATGAAAGCAGGAAATAAACAGCCACCCCAGGTTTAATCTGYAAAAGGCTCACAGGCATTCACTCATTCTGTACTTCTCATGATACTGAAATTCTGTATTACTGCAGCATGGAATTTAGCCTTTCTCTGTTTTACCTATGTGGTAAACATAATTATTGTTTTGTCACACCATCTATAAAGTCGAAAGGCTTTGCTTTTGTTTCAAAAGAGTTCAGAGAGAACTATTGCTTCCCTGTATTTTCAAAAATTAATGCTACSTACTTGGGAAGGTATCCAAAGGGGAAACAGACACTGATAAAATTTCATAGTCCACTAAATGGCTGGTAGAAGCATGAATTAATAAGACTTCTTGTACTTAAGATTAAGCTCCTAGCATTTTTCATTACCATGAGCCTTCAAAATGTAAATTCTGAGACAGAGTCAAACTTCCCAGCTGTGCTATTAACAGATACCCACTTCTAATAACCACACTTCCTAACTCTGCTAGAAAATTTCTTCTATTTATTCACACCTTCTGCAACATGTGGAATGTTCCCACTTTCTTCAGACATCAAGCTATCATTCAAGGACAAAACGGAATGATATCTATTATCTGCATCAGGATTCATTCTCAAAACATTTCACAGCATACAGGTGGAAAAAACTTACTATTTTAATCTTTCACCTTAACTTCCAAAGGTGCCACCCACTGTAGACACTATGAACAGACCACATTTTCACAAACATTTTCCACTACCCCACATGACTGTGCACAGACTCTCCCATGAGAGCTCCCAACATAACACAACTACATATTTCAGAGCATTTATCTCAAAATATAAAAAGGTAATTCAGCTCCATGTCCACCCCAGTGTAGGGAGAAAATTTCTGGAACAACATAACTTGGCCTACACCAATAGATCCAGAGGCAGAACTGCAAAGCTGGGAGAAACATTCTCCACCTCCAGACACTCTCCTTCAGTTATGTCTTTGCTTGGTCAGCTCTCTTATCTGCTTCACCTAAAACGTGCACAGTCAGTTGCACCAGCAGAAAAAAACCCTGTCAACATCCAAAAAGAGCAGGCAGGACCAGTGACTACTCAAGGAAATGTTCCTCCCACATTAAGGGCTGCAAAGCAAAGCCTCACTGTCCTCAGCTATCACAGTGCACACCAGGTGGACAGTCAGCAAAGCAGAAAAACTGTGGAAAATTCAAAAACAAACTACACCCAGCCTTATCAACAGGTGCTGCCACAACCAAACATTAACTGGCTTTTGATCTCAGCTTTCCAGACCACTGGAAGCCCAGAAAGCAGAAGCAGTCAGTTGGGCAGAAGGAATGCATTCATCTTCTCTTCTCACATCAGGTCAAACAGAGACAATTTGTGAGACAAGCTCTAATGGAGAAATTAATCTAATGAAARAAACAAGACTCAAGGTTAACTACCAAAGTCAACAGTTTTCATATGTGAGCTGTCTAATTAATATCTTTCGGGCAGTGGAGATAAATAACTCTACTTTAATGTCATCAATTATAATTCAGATGCATGACTCCAAGATTTCATTTCCTAATGGGCTGTTCTAAAGCATTTCCAAGTCTGACCCACCCTCACGGGCACACTGTGGATTTGGGATCAAAAAGAAATCAATTTTTTTTCATATACCAAAAATGCTTGCTTTGAGGGCACACCTCAAGACTTATTTAGAGGTCTGGTTAACAATATAASCAAGAAGTACCTAACATAGTTTTCCCTCTGAGAAAGGAGGAAGAAATACCTGGTTCATCACAGACCAAAAATGTTTATTGTGTTGTTTAACATGTTATTGAAAGGTCTTCAAATGAGTGGGAACAAGCAAAGAGAATCAAACAGAACATTTGAGCCAGATTTTCAGAAGGTTTTGTTAGTCTGATACACATCTATATTTAGTGAACTATCCTGGGATGACAAAGAGTAACAATTGAAATACCACASTGTAATGTTTACAACCTCTTATTTTTTCTTTTTAGAGGCACAGATGAACTACTGGGCCTTTAAGACAGTATGTCAACAGAAGGCTTAAAATAWTACTTTCTATATATGCAGCAAGTTGCAAAATCCATCCTTAAAAATAAATTGGTAAGCTAAATGAGCAGAGGCAAGATGGTTATCAGCATATGGCAATTTAATGGGAGACAGTTCAAGTTTGCCAGGGGAGRACGTAATTTATCAAAATTCATAAAAATTCAAATGATTTCTCTGCAGTAGGTTTTACAACCGAACAAATAGAAATATTTCTGCAGTGTATCAGGCCCAGAAAGGTGAAGGCAACCTTCATGTCTGCAAGTGTAGCTGGAAGGGATATCACTACACCTTCAAAAACTCCCTGCTGTGCCAGATGCACAAGACTGAAGTGAAARGCTGATGAAGCTCATTTGCTCAGGTTTGCCTAAAATATCTTTGCTGTTCACAACTGAATCCATCAAATTCTGCYTACGAATGGTATTGGGTGTTTTTGCTGTATACATCAGAAAAGARAACAATGTAACCCTCAGCCAGGTTACAAGGAACCTGAGAGAACCAAGAGAGCTCATAACAAACAGTAAAACCGTATGTACACCAGACAAACTTACCATTCAGCAAGTTATAAAACACAGCTCGTGTGCTTTTCACACTGGTGGCACTGCCCACGGAGCCTCCAACATCCCAGAGCTCAATGTAATAGGTTTTCTCTTCTGGAGTCCCTTCTTTGTAGTCGTGGATCTATTGAAAAATTCACACTGTAATAAGCACAGCACCAACTCACAGGAGTTAATCCACGTGACACTTACACTTTCAGCTGGAAGGATTATTGCACTTGGATAGAAATGTAGAAATTCTCATGCTGACATCATTTCAAACCTCTCAAGTTTGATGAAGATGGAAGAGAAATGGAATGAGTCAAGCAGGAGGGATTGGATGCCACAGCTGTTACATGAAATAAAGCTTGGTAAGTAAGCAAGGAGCATCCTTTACATTTCAGTATTAACAAACCTAATATCTCATGATGTGCTTGGGAATAAGATTTTGCTTAAAAAAATCTTATTTTTAAGCAAAAAAAACCCACTGGCAGCACTGCAAGAATATTAACACAGGTGACAGTACTGGATGCCAAMTGACCACATATTTTTCCAATTTCTGACATCTCAACTTTATTAATCAACAACTTCTATGCCCAAATCTGCTGGGTAGTTCTGCTCCAGAGTCAAACAGGACTGCCAYGTTCCTCTCCTCAAATTTGGGAAATACATTCCTAACCCAGTGCAATGCACTTCAAGGAGAATTATATAAAGAGTGATGAAGGAAAAAAATGCATTTATCAATGTCTCATGAAGGCTATAGGATTGGCCAAAGAACTGCTGGATGAATATCCTTATTTCTTCCATAGCAGGTCTTGCAGCAAGTTGTTAGGAGCAGAAGCAACCCCATGGTCACAGATATGAAAAAAAACCAAAACAGGAAATAAACTCTCTAACCCAGTTAGGTCAGAAAATCAACACTATTTTATTCTGCACTGAGGTACATAAGTAGCAAACATGTACATCAGTCATCAAAACTTCTAAGTATTTATACATTTTAGCAAACAAAGGAATTGGTGTCCACTGGCTTACAAGTCACGTAGTTCTCTTCATTAATTAGTATTCTATCTTCTCTTAGTTATTGATTTCTCACTTCTTGTGCTAACTAGCTCACATTTTCAGCCTTTCTATTATCTTTTTCCCAGATAGGGAGAGTCTCAGCATTTGTCCAAGTTTCTCCTCCAGCTCTGCCTTCTGTAACATGTCTTTGTGGTTTATAAATTCTGCATTCTTGGTGTCCAGGTCTCAACAATAACTTTCTCCCCCAGGTCTAAGACCACTGAAGCATGTCAGGCCCTATACCTTAATTTATTTTTCTAACATGCAGACATCACCCAGAGCTTTCTTACAAACCCACAACCTGAAAAAACTGCTTTGCCTGACACCTTGGCCTTGCCTTGCCTGTTTCTCAAGGAATTGGCCATCCTGTGACTTTTAACATGCCASGAATTGGCCACTGCAGCAGGAAGAAAAGCTACGAGTGACAAATATCTTGCCTGATTCTGACAAACTTGGAAAAAAAATTTGCTTACACATGTGCTTGAGTCACATTAGACACTACTTGCATCAGAAGATTAAGCCCTCAGCAAACACACGATCAAAGTACACCTYTTTCTGGGGCGGAGAGTGATTAAAATAAAAAGTCAAGGCCCTTGTCTTCCCTCACACTCGAGGCCCAGGCCCACCTAGAGGCCATGCACGTCACCTACTCGCACATCCACGGAGCAGCCCACTGTCCAGGACGGATTTCCCAGCACCTGGTTGTGGCACAACAGGTGAACGAGCGACGATTTCCCGACACCTGCAAGCGCACAGAGAAAAAACAACTGCTGAGAGGCGCTGCCAGGGTTACAGGCGGCGAGGCCGGGAGCAGCACCGAGGCTTGGGCAGTGTGGGGCTCTCGGGGGGTGATGGGCAGGGAGGAGAGGAGCAGATCCCCAAGGACACACGGCCTGAGGGGACACGGACTCACCAGAGTCGCCCAGCACCAGCACCTTGACCCTGTCCAGAGCCGCCATCTTTACCCTGCCTAGCAACAGCGCCCCGCCACCAGCGTGCCCACCAATCGCGACGCGCCTTCTTGAGGCTTCTCTCAGGCTATTGGCTGACTGCTCAGCGGCCAGCCGGGCTCTCACTTCTGATTGGTTTATCTCCCGTGAGGCGGGAAGGCGGGAGTGGATCCGAGCATGCGATTGGCTCGTTTAGCTGTCACTCACCGTGAGGCGAGGCAGGGAGGGCGGTGCGGCGCAGGCGCTGCCGCTGTGGCTGACGGCAGAGGCGAGCGCGGCCGTGACGCGAGTGGCGGGGCCGCTGGAAGCGCCGCCCGGAGCCGGGAAGAGCTGCAAAGCGGCGCCAGGTCAGTGCCGGCCCCGGGGAGCGGGGTGGTGCCTGCGGCCCGCGGAGGCCCCCCGGCCCGGCGCTTGGGTGCGGCAGAGCGGCCCGCGGGGTCCGCGCTCCTCGCCCGCTGTGCCCGTCTGGGCTCCT